ACTGCCTGCTCTGTGTGAGAGGTTAAGCGGCTCCCAGAAGCCTGTGCGCGGCAGACGGCGGGGGGGACACACGGTCACCTAACGTATCACCGGGCGGCCGCGGGCCCCGGGCGGCCTGTGTGGACACAGAGAGAGTGAGAGCGCCGCGTCGTGACATGGCGGAGATGAACCGCAGGACATTGGCCTTCCGGGGAGGCGGAGGCAGCCTGTCCGTTGCTGCCGTGAACAATAACAACAATAATGGCGTCAGCTCGGAGGAGGAGATTGCGGCCTGGTCGCTGGGCCGACATTTGAACGGCGGTGGCGGGGACGAGGAGGAGGTAGAAGTAGAGCTGGAGCCGGAGGGCCTGCTGGAAGACGAGGAGGAAGATGGCGAGGCCTACCCTGGGGCGGCGAGGGCAAAGGCGGCGGCTGGAGGGGTGACCGGGCCCTCGGTGAGCGGAGAGAGCAGTGAGGAGGATGAGGAAGAAGAGGAGGAAGAAGACGAGGACGGGGCCGGCGGAAAGGTGGAGGGGGACGAGGACTGTGCCCTAATCCAGGGAGAAGGGCCCCGCCGCTATGGCCTCCTGTCCTCCGCCCGGTCCCAATCCCTGCTGCCCAGCCTGCACTGCTCCTTCCAGGGCTCCTGGCTTCACGAGTTCCCCTGGCTCCGCTTCTGTCAGGAGACCGGCCTCATGTCCTGCGCCTGGTGCCACGGCAACGAGCAGGCCGGACACGACGAGCTCACCAAGGGCACCCGCAACTACAAGAGGGCGCTGCTGGTCCGACACTGCCAGGTCGCCGAACACCGCCTCAACGACCCCGCGGCTCAGGTAAGAGTCTTCCCCGTGTCATGAGCTTCCCTCTCTGGGGAGAACTAACAGTACCAGCGCAGCCTGCTGACCTTGGAGGGAGGGCAGTGTGGGTTCCCTAGGGAAAAGATACACAGGGTGGCTGGGGGAGGGAGCTGCCATGGCACAAAGTGCTGAGATTTGTAGTTCCTCTATTGCTGAATGGCCTCACTGTGCCAGTCCACCTGCTGGGACCCCTTTAGATAATGCAAAGTCCAAGAATGTCACCAGCACACCATTTAAACATGAAGCAAATTCAGTTTAATGACACTTGTATGTCATCCAGGTACATAATCTATAATGTAACCTGGGGGATCTGAAGTCACTACACGATCTCCCATAGAGGGGTATGTAGTGCCCCCAGCAGCGGGGAGGGGAACCATACACCCCGATATCTGCCCTCATGGACTCGCTGTGATATGGGAGACATTTGTTTATGTTTGGGCTGATGGGAGAGGCGATCTGATTCAACACGCCGGGGTCACATGTCTTCTTGTGGGGGAGATATACGGCTGGTCACATGGATTATTGTGGGGGAAACGGGGGCTGGTCACATGCATTATTGTGGGGGAGATGGGGGCTGGTCACATGGAGTATTGTGGGGCTGGTCGTCTGATTTTAGGGGCCATAGAGCTGGTCACATCTCATCCTGGGGGGATGGGGCCGGTCACATGTCTTATGGGGGAGCTAGGGCTGGTCACATGACTGGCCACTCTTTTGTTGGACAGCTGGAAGGCATGTCCTTGGCGATATCAGTGATCTGCACCCCACCCTCGGTGTAAGCTGATTACAGTATCTAGCTGACACCAGGAAGGGGTGGTGTTGAGTGTCTTGTGTTGGGGAGGAAGGGGTGACCTACATTTTCTATAAGGGGCCTGAGTTGGTGTAAGAAGCAGGCCGGAAGTTTGCTACCCGCCCTCCCGTCCTAGTCCCCCATCTCCCCTTCCTGTGCCCCCCCCCCCTTTTCATATCACCCCTCCCCTACTTTCCTCAGGTGGGCGCCGCCCGCTGCCTGGCCCGGGCGATGGACGTGTCGCTACGTGGCTGCTCCCCAATGGGTCCTATGACCGGCCCGGAGCTGTGTCCTCGCAGGTGATCACGCAGCGGTGCCGCTCTCACCCGTCACATACACACACTGACCGAGTGTAGAAGGTGATGGCCGGGAGGACTGGAGTGGATTTCTTCAGAGTTCCCCTGACCGGGCATCCTGCCACTATAGTGAATGCAGAGTAACCTGTGTGTGTACAGGATGTTCTACAGCCAGTGTGTATCCATATGTGACTCAGAGCTACAGACCAATGTGACATGATGTATGAAATCATCTTCTAACTGATGTAGTAAATTACATGTATTGTCGGGTGTTGGAGTTAAAGGGACAGTGCACACACTATGCCTATCAATATCCATCATATCAGTGGCTGACAGCATTGTCCTTCAACAGGTTACTCCAGAGGAAGTGACTAGGTACTGATGCATTTATTCCCTCAAAGCAGTTTATTTCTTAGATGTGTTCACCTCTTCTATTTTTATTATAATTATTACTGGATAAGTATCTGTTGACATGTTTTTTTGTTCTTCAGGCTTTAATTGGATTATTTATTTAAGATCCAAAAATGTTTGCCACAGACAAAGTTAGCAAAACATTAAGGGTCCATTAAGACGTATGTGTTGCAGCTACTGCAGTACACCATGTATGTGTTAGTGTATTGCGGTGCCATTTATTTTAAATGTCACTGTGTCAACACACTAAGGAAACACACCATCAAATACTGCCAAGCGTTGTGGTTTGCTGTATAAGAATAAAAATGGTCCTATGCAAATGAAGGGGCAGCAACACATGTATGTGTTGACGCACCACAACACATGACTGTAAATGGACACGAAAGTATGAAGTGCAAATTGTATACATCAAATACACCCTTAGCAATCACATCACTTGTATTATTGAAATCAATGTGATCGTTTTCCAGTGGTTTTGTCTGCCACGAAGACCTTAATCTTAATTCGGTCACCCATGTTACATTGCAATTGGCCATTTACTGTACAATCCTCCTGTAGTCCCTGTTCACACCTTGGTGTTGTGTGCTTTGATGCACGTTTAAGCAGCGCATTAAAAAAAAAAAGCCACACATACAGTGACATTACTTGTTAATGACACCCCGAATGTGGCCTGTATAACACGTGTTTTTTTTCCCTGGGTGTGTATCAAAGGTGTGGAGGGAAAAAAGTGTCACGCATGCAGCTGAAAATTTGCAGTCAACACTGGAAAAGCGCACACGAACATGCGTTGACGCTACACGAAGTGTGAATGGGGCCTTAGATTAACCGACAGCTGTAGGTGAGAGCCTCTCTAACCAAGCCATTCAACTTGTGTCTAGTCAGGTGACCCTTACACTGTATAGAAAATCTAAGAGTGTTTGTGCTGCTGATATTCTTTCACATCAATATGTACTTCATTCTGTATTAAAGAATTGTTTAGTCTCTGATATTTCACTTTATTTTCTATTTGTAGGAGTCAGAAATAAAGCAGGAAGTGCCAGACACCTACAGTGACTATAGTATAAAGCCAAATGAAAATTCCTACTGTTACCAACTTTTACAAGAACTTAATGACCAGAGGAAGAAAGGAATTCTGTGTGATGTCAATATTGTAGTAAATGGCAAGGTCTTTAGAGCTCACAAGAATATCCTGGTTGCAGGCAGCCGCTTTTTTAAAACCTTGTACTGTTTTACAAACAAAGAAAGCCGTGACCAAACCACTGTTACTTACCTGGACGTTGTTGCTGTGCATGGTTTTTCAGTCATTTTAGACTTTATGTACTCTGGTAATCTTGTACTCACCAGCCAAAATGCCATAGAAGTGATGACTGTGGCCAGCTATCTCCAGATGACCGAGGTTGTTCAGTCATGTCGTAATTTCATCAAAGATGCCTTGAATATAAGTATAAAATCCGAAGCTCCTGATTCTGTTGTTGTAAACTATAACAAAAGAAAGAACAAAGATGGCGTTGCTACTCGGGATCAGAAAGTCGCCAGTTTTTGGGCTACCCGTAATCTTACAAATTTGGCAAGTAACGCAAAACTTGAAACAGATGGATTTAGTTTAGACGATCCCCCAGCTGATAACTTCCAAGCCAATGACGCCACGTGGATTCAGGACAGTTCTCCAGAAGTGACGGAAATTGAGCCCCCAGCTCAGGGAAAGGTGTTTGTGTGGAACGATATGGCTTCAAATACAGTTGGTGTGCCAGAAGTCAGCAAGCCCAGGAGAAAAAACCAAACCACCAAGAGATTTGTTTATAACATCCCTCCAAACAGCGAACTCCAAGTAGATGGTAACACAATGCTGCAACAGCCTGTTCCCTACGTAGAAGAGGATGTACAGTGCTTCCAAGATGCAGCAGGTAGGTTGTGATTATGAGGTGTCTATGTAACTTTTTCCCATGTCATTAATATGCAGGGCTTGAAAAATCCAGGACGGTGGAGTCCGACGAGCAGCTTCCCGGCCGGCCGTTGTAAGTACACGGCCGTCCGGGAGCTTTACAGTCAAGCGATCGGGCGTCTCTATGGACGCTCGATCGCTTGTATCAGCAGCTGTCACTGCCGGTCCCGAGATCCGATGCAGCCGGGACCGGCACGGCTCTGTGACAGGAGATCAAAGGGAGTTCAGTATACGAACTCCCTTTGATCTCCTCTCAGTCCCCGAATGCTGGAAGTGATGTATATTACATCACTTCCTGCATTCAGTGTCACTCTCCAGCAAGAGAAGCTGATGAAGCCGATCTCTGCTTCATCAGCTTCTCTGGGGGTCCCTAGGTGACAGGGGTCTTGGAGACACGGGCATATTTCTGCGCGTATCCATTAGGATACAGCCGGATAGCCCACGTAAACGCGCATTGGATGCACGTTTCGTGGACCGCAAATCGTGGTAACGCGCGGCCCGCTATGCGTGTCATATGCGCATATTTCAATCACCTAGGTGGGAACCCAGCCTAAACGAGAACTATGAGGTGAGTGCTTTTCACTCACCTCATAGTTCTATTTTTGCGGGCGCACACAATTTTAAGGTTCGACATGTTTGGTGTCTTTTAGAGCTGCAGCTAACGATTATTTTCAAAATCGATTAGTTAGCCGATTATTAGGTTCGATTAATCGGTTAATCGGATAAACAATAAAATAAAGTTTAAAAAATGGCTCCAGTGATGGACTACTAGTTTGTATTGAGGTTGTAGTCCATCACAGGAGCAAGCTTGGAGCGGTGGAAGTAAAAAAGAAAAAAGATAGTGTGGTGTGCAATATAGTGAAATGGAAAGTGTAAAA